GGGTGTCCTCCTGGTGCTGGTGCCGACTCGTGGAGTCACGAAGTGACGTTAGTGCAGCGTGCCGGCCCCTGTGCCTCAGTCACGCTCAGTGTTGCTAGTGCAGACACCACTGAGATGTCCTCTCTGTGCTTATGCATGCGTGTATGCCGCGTGAGCCTAAGACTTTCGTGTTTTCTGTATTTCTGTGTTTTGTATTTTTCTTTATTTTCTCGTCACCAACCCAAGCACATGAGGTGCTGAGGCCCCTGGCACCTGTCTAGTCGGCTCGCCCAGCAGTGATGTCCGAGGGTACCTCTCCGTGGCCCACCGTCGTCAACACTCCTCGACTCTGGAGCACGCTGCTCCTGCTCAGGTGCTCAGGGACATGGCTTTTATAGGGTCCTGCTCGTGTGTCTAAGGGAGAGTCAGTCTGTGGTCATCGGGGCTGCAGCCCGAGATAAGGCCCCGTGGAATTTCTGGGTATTGGTGTAGGCCCAGTGGTGAGAGCACAGCTCCCATCCGCTGCTGCCTGCCCTGTCCTAACCCTGGTGCCTCTTTGCCCCATTTCTTTTTTTCTTTTTTTTTTTCCGGCCCTATTTCTTAATGATGCCCATTCGATCAAAATGAGTCCACAAGAAGCAGCCAGGCCAGAGAGCCCTGACATGACTTCACGGAGGAAGCTACTTTCGAATTTCCTTATGTGTCACTCATCAGTGGCAGGGCTGGACAGGCTGGCTTGTCACTGGCAGAGGATGGCGTAGACTGTCATGCAAGGCCACATGCTGTTCAGCATCTCAGGGTTCCCCGGTGAACCTGCAGTTCTGGACTCAGATGTGTGGGCCTCAAGGTAGGCCTGGGGCATAGGCTCTATGGCAGTCCCTCCCAGGAGGGAGTGCTGGGGCCGGTGTGAAGACAGCCTTTGGGCCTGGTGATGCCTGGGCAGACCTGGATGGAGCTCAGAGAGTCATGCCATGGGGGAGAACGTGGTAAGATGAGAGTCCCTTCTAAAGCCCACTCTGGCTATGCCTGTCCTCGTGGAGGCCGGCCCAGGTAACAGGTATGTCTGGAGTGACTGGCCGGTTCTGGATGCCCAGACAGTTGGTGTGTGTTCCTCAAGGGTGGGAGGGTACCCAGCTCTGGGCAATTGGGGCTCTTTTGTACAATACATCTGAATGCCTGGTCCCCCGCCCACCTTCGAGGTGTTCTCATCCTGAGCTTTCTAAATTTGTGTGTTTTATCAAGTATCTCAGGGTGGCCTTTGCGAGGTTTTCGGGAAAACATTTTTGCATTAAAAATAGAACA